GACCCCCCAACCAGGAGGTCCAGCTGCACTCTGCGGTCACTCGCGGCATGCTCGCTGGGGACTACAGGCCCCGAGGTGAAAACGATGGACTCATTTCGACTGCCATCAGTTAAACAATACTAAAATAAGCAATTAAAAGAGCTGGTAAAAAAAAAGTGATGTTACATAACAGGCCAGCTGGCAATTACGTATTCCGGGGTACGTTTTGTCAAATTGCCATTGTGTTTGATACTTCATAAATATTTTGTCAGGAAACTCAATATTTTTGAACAGTAAAACGAGCAATGGTAATCGTGATCTGGCGGTATTATACAAAATGGACGGCACAATTATCGCGGATATAAAATGTCGCGACATTCCGAGTTTTAACATGCTTAACTTTAGTTGTCCCCGAATACTTTGTAACAGTGATATTCTTTCCGGTTAACAGATTTTTTTTTTTATCTACTGCGAGTGGTGTTACAGGGCTCATTGTGGAGATGCAATGATTCACCTCTCCAGCAATTTCATTGATTGTTGCCAGGACTGCTTTTTGTGTTTGAGTTTGTTGTCCTTCCCCGAACCTCCGATTAGCACAGTTGGCTACATACGGTGAGAAATAAGTGAAACATACATACTTTCAGGGTCATTATGAAATTTAACATTCCGTTATTTTGCAATTCTGGTGAATGCAGCGGCCACTAGTGGCTGCAAGAGTCATTCACCCCTATTATTTTTCAACATACAATATAAATAATCACTTCCGGCCCTTGGTCATTTCACTGCTGGATGAAAGTTTTTCCATACCGTGACGGTCGTCGTGGTTGTTTGACCATACTTCACCACGCTGGCCAGTGCGGGTTGGTCAAAGGGCAGCCCCAGGAACAGTTAAGATATTATTCGTCAAGTGACGTTAGCCGTGGCTGGGAATCGAACTCGGTGGGTTCAAACAGAAGTGGCGTAACCACTACGCCACTTCTCCCCCACATACATGTACATCCTGTTTGTGAATCGACTGCTGGATGAAGACATCCTCATGCTGTGCCGGTCCAGGGGGTTAGTTAAGGATACTTCACCGCGCTGGTCAGTGTGGCTACACTCTGCCCAGCTCGCGAATGGCAGCGCAGTGATAGAACGTGCCTGAGGTGTCTACCGCAAAGATGGAGTGACGAAATTGGTTCGCGTGCAGGCGCTAGATGGGTTGTTGAATCGCAGCACTGTGGTATATGGAGAACAGCTTGCTGGGAGAGGCCTTCATCCAGCCATGGATTGACCATGATCGATGTCGATGATGATGATGACGTTTTCAATAGGCAGCTGTGTGGCTCTGTGGGGTCTTCTTTTACAACATCCTCACCACTGTTCCTTTTCAATAGATACCACTGCCAGTTCATAATTTATCCCATCACATCATTACCATTGCACTCTCTTGTCTCCAGAGAAGTGCACATTCAAGATCCAATGACGTCATGTGCAGCAAGCGACCTTTCTGTGATATATTGCGCTTAGGCTATTACTGCGAGCTTTCCAAAGCGAAAAAAGCCATGAAATTATGTATATTTGTTTGTATTTACTGACAAGTGCTGCTTAATCTTTTGGCTAAAAGGCCACTAAAAAGGTATTTAGACATCTACAGCAGGGATACGGACCTGTTTTGCCCTGATAAGGGCTCCTCAGCAAATCACACCGAGCTACAGACTCGCAAATAAAGCACGTGCGATTCATTGCGAAAATCCCAAATGTTTTTCAATTAAAATCTTAGTTTTTTCGCATAGCCATGCATGACGAGCGAGTTTTTTTTGTTGCGATGAAGGTCAGGAACACGGATGTGTTCTCACCTGGCTTGGATAGAGAACGCACATCGGCGTTGCTTACGCTGGCTCTCTTTGCGTTCAAATGGGACGTGCCTGAAATCCTGAAATGGCGAAGGTGGCTTTTGCGCACGGCACAGAAGGGAAGCTGCTTTATGAATGGAGGAGGGAGAAAAAAAATCGAAGCCAGTTGAGGTTTTTTTTTCTGTTCCCCTCTTCCTACGGTAATGTTATTTATTTATCTTCTCTCTCTCTCTCCTCTCAATCTGCTTGCGTAACGGCTTAGGCAGAGGCCCTTCTTGCGATTTTCATTGACTCCGCGCGCGCACGCGCACTCACAGAATAAGACGCGCGATGATGGAGGCTGCATTTTAATGGCCCCGTCGTCTGGGTCGCCCTTGCCTGTTCCGCTCGTAGCCTCAAGTGCCGCGCGTGTGCTCAGTCGCTCGCTCGCGTGCACGCACACGTGGGTGGCGCTAGAATGAGACGGAGGCTTTTTTCTCTCCCCCCCCCCCCCCCCGTCCTTAACCCATTGCCTGCCTGAATAAGGCCTGCGAGCGAACGCGTTTGATTTAGAACTATATTTCTGTTTGATAATTTTTTCGTCTCGTTCAAATAAAATAACTAATACATCAACCACTGGTACGCCGCATTGCCGGGTGCTTGTCTTGAGCGGAAGTCTGTGACTTAAAATAGCAGTTGGTGGTCGAATAAGCCGATTATCTCTCTGGTGTCAATAAAATAAGTACCAGTTTGACATTAAGTCAACAGTGGCCACCTTTATTGTTTTATATTTATATTGTTTTATTATTTCCCTTCTACGTGACTTTACCGAAAGAACCAAGAATATGAATCCCTGCTGTCACGAAAGCTTTAAATCAAAATTTAGTGGCCACCTTGTAATGAGACTGACCCAAGGCATAGGAATCGGGGAATTTCCACTACTGGCTCAGCGTTTTTCAGAATGTTTTAACGTACCTTCTGGATCCGTTTCTCTCCGTAATATTTGTTTCAACAACAAAATCCAAGAAAAGTGTTTGCTTTTCCGAGTATCCCGTTCACGTCGACTCCCTAACGTGTGTATCTCACACTGAATATATCTCCATTTGAGCAGATCTTTGCGTCCTTTTAAATTTTTGTCCACCCATTATATTTTTATATCCATATCATTCCCTGAAAAATCCCATTCACTCACTGTTTATTAACTGCATAGATAGAACACTGCTGGAGCATATTGCGAGAAATCTGAAGGTTGTGAGTTTAAATCCCAGTTTGCCGCGGTGGCGAGATGTTAATTCTCTCGCCCGGTATACAGGAAGTCGTGGGTTCAATCCTGACCCTGACGCCTGTATATTTGGAGTTTGTATGTTCTCCCCATGGTCGTGTGGATTTTTCTCCTCATCCCCCGTTTTTCCCTCCAAATTTAGACTCGATGTGCATTTTATAGTATTTGGCTGCTGTTAATTTACACATTATTTGAGGTCTGGTCGCTTCTGGAAAAGAGCTAGTGGACCTTACCAGGTAAACTAAAAATAGTTTTTTGTTTAGTTTTAGGTGGTCATCTCGCCCGTGCTTGGTAAAACAAGACATGGATTGTTCAGCAGAGAAAACCACACTGACTCAAGGCTACCAGCAGATGTCATTACTATTCTCCTGCTCAACTGAGCAAAAAAACCAAACTGTTTCTTGTAAGATACTAATTTGTAAGAATAGGTCTTTTTTAAACTCATGGTATTAATAGTGTTACTGTATGATTATAGATTTTATTATATTCGGTCAGGTGATGCGGTGGTCACGGCAATTGGCTGACTTCAGGGTTCGAGATGCGAGTCAGATGCCGGCTTCGTGAGTAGTCAACAGTTTCCATCCCATGGAGACGATCGGGCCCTGCCATGAGAACGTGGAATTTCCATCACAGTCAGGGCCACCATCATAAATGAGTTACTGTCCTGTTGCTCCTTTGAACAAGGGGGGCGTGGTGGGTTAGAGCGAGCGAACAGTTAACATCATTGGGCAGTGTGTGTTGACGATTGTTGGGTTGTTGAACCATCGGCGGCTAGTTTGAGCTTCACTCTGTCTCGTCACCAAGGTGCGGTTCTTTTGTTAAACTATGCACGTGACGTACTCCCGATGTTACGAGCAACTCAGCAAGTTGTATTTTGCGGAGGCTTTTCTTCATTACATTATTGACTTCATCAACTGTCTCCTTCGCCAATATTCATTGATATTTGTTAGAGAGGCTTTGAAAAGCGTTGGTAGCGATGGGAACACGAGGTCATTTTAAAATGATCACTGACATGAAGCTCATTTTAAACAGACCAGTTGTTTAACCTGCATGTAATTCATTTATATTTTGAAAAATATATTAGTGCTGTCACTACAAAACTAATGTAGTTTTTTTTTTATCAGGAGAGAACTCAAGAGACCAAGATGGTCGCAGATGCAAGCGTGACCTGGAGCATTAGTCTGCCAGTAGAGTGCAATGATTACCACGTATAGTTCCCATTGAGTAATTTGCAGTGTAATTTTGGATCAGCCAGTGACACTCCACGTTGTAATGCTTCTATGGCCAGTTAAATAAAACGGTGTCTCGGGTGCGATTTTGACAACGTAATGTTACAGAGGCTTTATGTAAAATCCGCCTTGGTAATTTCACCAATTATAGGACATGTTTGTTGTTTTCCTTTTGTCTTGACCAGGTTTCAGCGAACCTCGACTCCATGCATAAATACCAGGGGCTGCCCTGTGTCCTCCCTACAGTAGCCCTTCACCCTCTATCTACTTCTAACACTTGGGATCGGTCAACTGACCTAACGACGAGCTTCTACGGTCTACCACGCCACTCGGCCTTCTCAATGCCCCCTTTCTCACCCCCTTGTTCTGTCCGTGACCGCACCCGTGCCCCTCTCTTACCACCCACCCTTCGCCACTCCTCGGGACCTCGGGGCAAATCAGGTTTGGCACGGGTGCCACCTGACACCTGCAAAGCCTGACCAATATTCACTATTGACCCCGTTATAATTGTTACGGTTGTCATTGATGTTTGTAGTTAGAGACTGCACAGCCACATGGTCCCAAATATCCTTCAACTTTGTTTGTGTGTGGCCCATTTTGTGGCACGTGTGTGTCTGTGTGCGTGTGTGAAGGAACCGTGAAAAGTAAATGAATTTGTTTAATTGTTGTTCCGTTCTCCGCATCTTCGATTTTCAGCCAAGAAATCGCGCCGCGCCCCCTCCACACCCAAGCGCTCTCTCCTCTGGGGTCTCCTCCCGAGGGTTCTGAGATTCTGTAAGCTCTCTCCGCAATGCCCTCCACTGCAAGCACAATCATTTTCACGAGCATATGCTAAAGGGCAGAGCATGGTTTTGTCGTGCGGTTGAAGCTGATGGAACCCTTTGTGGTGCTAACGCCAGCCGGGAGCAGCGTTATCGGAGGCAGGGTTGGGCGATTCTGCGAAGGATGTCGATTCCATGAGAGACTCAAGCCGCCACTAGGCTAGAAGGTGGCCCATAGCAGTAGAGCAATCTGGCCACCGCCATATATTCATGCTATCCTCTACTTGTGTTATTCTCTTGTATACGTTGTGTGGGTTTTATTCAGGTAGAACAGTCGTCTCACACCAAATAGTCATTGTGGAAGTGGGCAAACATCAAAATACAGGAACATCCGAGGTTTTCCCTTTGATAAATAATTTACTCGGTGAGATAATGCTGATAATAAAAATGCCTTTTTGTCAGTTGCATAAGTAACTTACGACTGCTGTCGAAATGCATGGAACAGCGGTGTGCGTATGCCGCAGTAGTCAGTGTTTTTATGTTGCTGAGATTACACGGGTGTCTCGGCTTAAATCCAACATTGTCACATTGACAGGACCCTTCTACTCGCATGTTCGCTCTGTTTTGTGAGTACAGACCCACGCAGCGTTAGTTGCATGAGAACTATGATAATTTGGTGACACGGCGTCACTCTTGCCCCATTGTGTTGCTACGACCATTGGGAAAGTTGTGCACTGCTGTGGGTGGGTAGCAGCCTCCAGCACAACCAGATGCACAGAGCTTCCTACACCATGTGACGAATCCCCACATTGTGGTGCTCATTGTACCAACCCTGGCCTGGATTTGAACTCATAAACCATTATTTTATGGTGACTAACTGATTGGTAAACTTTTGAGTCTCGGAATTTGTCAGCGACACTTTTGGTAATAATCATTGAATGCATAAGGATGATGTGATTTGGAGCAGAATTGTTGTTGTGATCAGATTCAGAATCTTTATTTAGACTTCTGGGGGAAACCGATGAGCTATGAAGCTCTTTTTCACAGATGTCCAATATGGGCGGTGGGTCAGCAAGTTACAGCAGCAAACAATACAACACAATGATAGGCCGTGCAAAATAGAGAAAATGATAAGCAGGTCACTAAATATAAATAAATAATACATCAATCTAGCTGCAGTAATTACCGCAGTTAGGGAATAGAGATTTGAACGCTGACGAGGGGATGCCTCGTGCGTACGCTGCTCGTGGAAATGATTGTGATGCAGACAGGTCCGCCCACGCCTCCCGTGTTCCGCTAACCAGTTTGCCGTGTCCCTCCCGTGCAGTGCCACTAACACAGTTCAGCACGGCTCTTTTATGCACACACGCAACAGCCACGGCATGCTCCATCCGCAAGTCCTCTATCCCATCCTGTTAAGTAACCCTGAACATTATGGAATAACCGTGCAAGTTGTGGAAGAGAAGGGATTCCTCAGCTCTCTTTGCTCCAGTGGCGTCATCCTCGTCAACTCAATGAGATGCAATTCACAACGACGCGCAACTCAATGCCCGTCCTCCAGAAGCACGTTTGCAGGTGTGTGCGTGTGTGCGTGATAATCCAGGCAAGTTACATTGCCACAAATCTCATTGCCTGTAAAGCCACTGAAAATCAATGCTGTAAAACTCACAAATGCAAAAGTTTCAGGGTATTATCGTACACAGCACATCTCAAACTAAAAGATGCCGCCCGTCGAACGAGCAGGGCATGGCGTGACAATTTTGTCGCCAAAGTATAACGCCTTTCAGCAAAAACGTAGCATTCACTAATGTCTCCTGTGGTTCGTTCACCATGTCTTCTCATCAAAATGAGGATTTTTAATGGAACATAATAACCTGATAGTTGTGTTGGTGTGTCTTTTTGTCTCGTTTTTTAGTGAAGGCGTGATGATGTCGGTACACATGGAGTAATTGCCGCCGTGATGTTTGTAATATTAACCGGCCCACGTGGCCCAGCTGTCGAGCGACCAGCTCGCATGTACAAGGTTGCGAGTTCAAATCCTGGTTGGGGGCGTTGGCTCGGTCCATCATCCCTCTGGGGACAGTAAAACGAGTACCACTTTGTGGGGAAGTCGACAGTGGATGTCCTTTGGAGAGGCTCGCCCCTAACATAGCAAAGCGTAATTTCCAACACTGCCTCTTAAGCTGTCAATAGGACATGAGCACCATTGCCTCAGTGCTGATATATGAGCAGCAGGAATTACTTTCATGTGTTTCAATTGTTTGGTCAGGGTGAGAATTCGGGTCTACGTGTTCGTCGCTTCAACAATTACTCTGTCTATGGTCAAATTTGGACCCGAACTCCGGCATGCACATCCCCGACTGTCGACTAACATCACCGGATTTTTTTAAAGTCCCCTGTGACGCAGGCGGCACGTAGTATTTATGGTTAATTTACCAGCAGTATTCACCAGGGCAGCCACGGGAGTCGAACAGCGAACCACTGCAGCACGCAGCGAACGTGCAACCGTTTGCGTCCACTTCCCCGTTACATTGCAAATGTGAAGAGTGGAGTTTTTCGAAAGCAGAGAAATTTGTGATCCATGGGTCACTGCAAAGCAGCCAGATAACTAACAATTTGTGAAATGCAAGTTATGCTGCCTCACCAGAGCACCGGAAGTCTAAATAAATAGTCATGGAACGTGGCGGCTTCATTGACAAAAGTCATTCATAGCTCTGTTGATGAAGGCTGATTCATAATTAGTTTATTTTGGGTTTTATTGCATAGGTTAAATGTCAGTTTTTTCTATAACTCTTCACCAACTGACAGCCAATCAAATTCTGTAAATATGCTAAATGCTACAACATTGTCAAAATGTTTCTTGCATTTCAACATTCTGGTTTGCTGAAAAACTTAATCATTCGGCATATTTGCGCATTTGGCAGCTTGAATTGATTGTCTGTCGGGTGATCTAACCCAAAAGAAACTAATTATGAATCACATTGGTCATGAAACCTTCGCATACAATTTGTTCAATGCTCTTTCTATGCCAATGTTTTGCAGAGGTATATGTCTCCCAGTTGTTCCCTGTTCAGTGATGAGCAGTGCTCATTTATTGTTGTCTGGCTGTGATTCAGGCCACCCATTTCTGTTAATAACTTGGCCCAATCCAGTGAATCAAAACTGGGTCAGGGTTTTAAAAATATATACGAGTGGGAAACACTGATTGAGAGTCCATGTGGATCCGTGCATTTAATTGCTTTTTATTTTTAATTAAACGTGCTTTCCTGCTGCTTTATTTTATGTCAGGGCAGAGCAATATATATCAATATTTAGATTCATACCATTCAGTGGCAGCACCAAAGACTGAAATGGAAACAACTTTGCGATCCATACTCTTTGGTTCTTTTGGTAAAGTCACGTAGATAGAAAATTAATAGATCACGACGCTTCGATCGCAGCACAAGCAACCGTCTTCAGGTGAGAGAGAGAAAGCTACTGAAACAAGGTCTTATATAGGCCTGAGATAGCCCTGTGCGAAATTCTGAGAGCGGTACCTTGAGGAGTGTTCCAGGGCATGGCTGCCTGGGTTTTTTTTCTTCTTGTTTTTGCATGGCCGTCTTGATGTTTTAACTGTTGTTGCATCCTCTGCGCACACACACAAGTGCATCCTTCCCGGCGGAACTCTGTGCGTGCGGGGTCCACGCGTGTTTGTTTGACACGGTCCCTCGCGTGGTGGCACTGCGGTGCGATGTGGCGAGGTGAGACTTTCCTTCCAAACATGTCAGCTCCTTGTGATGGGCCCCCCAAACGGGGGGGGGGGGGCGGGGGGGGAAGGTGCTGAGAGAGGGTGGGTGGCAAAAGGTCAGGTCGCGTGTCCGTGCGTGCATTCTCGCTGAGGCTTCACTGCGGTTCGTAGCACGGTTAATGCCACAATTTAAGAATTTTTAAATACCTCCCTTCCCAGTCCCCCTCCCCAGTTTCCCACCCCTGCCTTGGTTAGAAAAGGAACCCGTATGATAGACCTTAACTAGCCCCTGTTTGGGGAGAAAGAACTACACAGAGGGCACAACTCCTGGATACACGAGCCTTTTACATAATAATAATGCAATTAATAACGCGCGCAAATTTGCGGACCTAACAGCCGCAATTCAGAGGCGCGGAGCCAAGCTCAGAGTCACTCGAAAGCGTGGTTGTAGAGGTGAGTTTTTAAGTGTCTCTTGAAGGAGACTATTGAGGTAATGCTGCGAATGTGCAGAGGGATTGCATTCCAGACTGTTGGGGCATGCCACCGAGAAGCGGCGCATAGACGTGACTGTCCTGAATCTTGGTATCAAGAGGTGGTCGTGAGTCGCACTGCGAAGGGATCTGCCGTGTGTTGAGCTGCAAGTCGTCAATAATGAAGAGAGGTATGGGGGGCAGGCAGATGTGAAGGCATGGTGGCAGAGGCAGGCGATCTTGTATGTGACCCTGCTGGCAATGGGTAGCCAGTGGAGGGCACGGAGACAGGCAAGTGAGTCAAGACGGGGATGAGTGCGGCCAATGGCAACGCTTGCCAGGTTGTTTTGTAGTCTTTGAAGTTTTTTGAGGTTGCCAGAGGATGACCGGACTAGGACGGAGTTGCGATAATCGAGGCGAGACCCAACTATGCAACATGCCAATGTGGTGGCAGTTTCAGTGGAGATAAGAGAACGTAGGTGTCTGAGAGCCTTCAGGTTAAACTTACATAAACTGATGATATTATTGGTTTGACGATCAAAGGATAAAGTTGAATTTAGGATGACACCAAGGTAGCTGAAGTGATGGGTGAACCTGATGCTGTGACCAAAGATGTGTATATGTGTTGGGAGCGCGGATGAGTTGAGACGGTTGCCTGGTACCTAACATGATGGCCACTGACTTTGACGGATTAAGGGCAAGGTTGTGTGCGGAGAACCACTGTTGCAGGGCAGTGGTGCATTCCGAGAGCCTCTCAAATCCAGACACATTTGTAGAATTGATGGCGGTGAACAGAATAGTGTCGTCCACATATGAATGGTGCTTGACACCGAAGCTTGCGATGAGGCGGCCGATCGGGGAAGTGGAGGCTGTGAACAGCAGGGGACCGAGGACTGAGCCCTGGGGGACACCACATAATGCTTTTGTTTCGGGAGATGTGGACGAGCCCAACCTGACTGAGGATCGCCGATCAGAACGGTACAACAGTATCCACTTGAGTGGTGAGCCACATATACTTTAGTCGGATTTCAGGTGGGAAGTAAGGAGCGAGTGGTTGACGGTGTCAAAGGCTGATGAAATATCCATACTTACAAGAGCAACGATGGAGTCGGAGTTAATAATCATTAAAATGTGATCGAGCACTCTGGTGAGTGCTGTTTCTGTGGAGTAGTTTTGATGGTAAGCTGACTGGAAGGAGCAGTAGTTTGGGGAGGAGGTGATGTGGGGTTTTAACTTGGTGAGGGCGAGTCTTTCGAGGAGTTTAGAGAGGTTCGAGAGATTAGGGATGATGGCCGGAGTTGATTCCCGGCCAGGATTTGGCCGGGAGTCAACTCCTCCGCCATCGCTCCACCTCAGCTGGATTTAAGAACGCCGAGCGTAGATTCCAACGTAATATACTCAACCGCTCGTGCACAAAATTAGATTTGCATCACACTTGACGTGTTTTTTTGTAGCATTATTAACAGCCCTTTCGTAAATGATGCTGCTGGAACACGGTCTCCCCATGCCATGTCTATCCGAGGGGGTTATACGACCATACTTTACCACGCTGGGTCAGTGCAAGTTGGTGAAGGGTCGCCGAGGATTGCGTCAGATTTCACCCGACGCTGATGCCTCGGCCCGGGACTTGGGTTGTTTATTTCTGCGTGCAATGCATAGACGACTGCAGCGCCGCTCCTATAGATGTTTAATAAATGTCACCCCTCGGCAGAATGCCGCGTGTGCGTGCAGAGCGAGCCGTAATAATGGGGAGAGGCAGCGTGCACCTCCAATCCTTCGGGACTCGTGTGGAACAGATGCACTTATGTAACAATTCCATCGTAATGTGTCTATCGGAGGCGTGTTCTAAATATTACGAGGATGGGCTTTCCAGCATACATACGTACGTACATACTCATGCTCGCATATGCATCTTACATCATCTGTGAAGCTGGGTGAGCATCCCATGAGACATAGGTTCTCTTCATCTGGGGGAAACTTTCACTGACCTTGCGTGAGCAAGGGATGTCCTGGTTTGTTTTTTTTTAATGTCGATAGGTCCAATGCCTTGGGCATGAAGATGATGCTTCATAATAATTTCAACGCCGTATTCGCTCCTCGCTGTCAATGAGTGAGAACGACTCCAGAGGCGTGAGGAGGAACCACAGACAAGTGGGAAGGGCAGCCACGCTGTGAATCCATGCTCCCAACGATCATGCGAGCTCTGCTGTCCTCTATATATATATATATGAGGATGTCAGCCAATTAAGAGTTTTTTATATGTGTGTGAGGGGGGCGTATCGTTACACGATCTGCTAGGGTCACTAATGTCCACTGTGCAGCAACAGTGCTCTCTGGTCATTCTTTTCCGTAATTTTTTTGCCAGATTAATGGAAACAAAAGTCGGTCTCCCAGAGCAAATGAGTGCGAGGTGGCACTCGGGCGCTTGGGGCGTTGCTCCCTCCGTATTTGTGGGATTCCCTCGAGCCTTCTTGTGTCCTCGCACATGAAGCCAAACACTTATTGTGGAATCGACCAAACATCCTGATGTAGAACCCTCTTCAGAAACAATTTTGAGACTTGGGGAGGCTTTTCAGGGTACAGGAGCATTATTATTGTTATTCACCTGTATGGAGAGCCAGTATCGTTGTGTTCATGAAAGCTACTGATGTGATGTGAGGTGTCCTGTAGAAAGCAGTACAGCAAGTAGGTTTATGACAAACTGGATTTTTTATTGTTTATCCCCTTCTGTGTCATTTTCTCTGAGCACTCAAGTTCCTTCTACACGTAATATTTGTCTTGAGCAACTGGCCAAACAACACAAGTAGGACTTTCTTGATGATAGCTGCAGACTCATTCCGGCTTTCCTGAGTAAATAAAAGATTACTGTTATCGTTAATAAACTCGAATTTCCTTTCATGAGAGCCAGAACACTTATCCTAAGGCCAAGTCGAGCTCCCCAGCTGTCTCACCATTTCAGTAGCCACCGTGCATCGCTGGCTATGCATCCCCGACTTGAAATCTGTCTAGATGCTGTAGGGCTCTCGTGAGAAAATCGCTGTCGGCGGCGCAGATCGTCCACGTGAGGCCTGTGCGACAGCATGTAGCAATCGTGCGCGAGGACGGATGTGGGCAGTGGAAGGTGTGATCGTGCTTCGGGCTGGAGCGCCGCAGGAAAATGCAGTTCAAAAACAATTTTTTATTTTTCCAACTAAGGCCCTATATAGTTCTTTTGAACGTGGAAATTTAAAGCAGCCAAATACTCTAAATGCAAGTTTCTGAATGTAGAGTGAAAAACCGGAGGACCTAGAGAAAAATACACGTGACCACGGAGAGAGAGACACACAAGCTCCAAATATACAGGTGTTAGGGTCTGGATTGAACCCACTACATTCTGTATACCAAGGTGAGGTAGTTAACATCTCGCCATCGTGGCACAAGCAGGCTTGTAAAAGACTTGGGCAGAAGGCTGAACAAGGACGCACTAGGTACTAGTTGAAGAATCAAAATGAGGCGACGGTGACGATGATGTGGTGTGGTAAGCAAGGTGGATGGTGTTGGATTCCCCGAAAGGTGAAGAAAGCTACACATTGCTGTTTGAGTCTTTGTTTATTCTCCCCCGGTGGGAAGGGGGTCTTTTGCAAATGAAACTTGGATCTCAGCGGAGGTCTTAAATGCTGAAATAAAGTTATCCATCCCGACCCATGAATCCCGCAGGCCGGGCGGACGTGGAGGAGGAGGAGGAGGAAGAGGAGGAGATTGGGGCTGAAGAGACGCTTGACACGGAACGCAACGGCCATGCGGCAGCCATGTGCGTTAATGGCGCCGGCGGTGCCGGCGTCGGTGCCGGTGGTGGCGCCGGCGCCAGTGGCGGCGGCGTGGCCGTTGCGGGCGGGGCAGGCGCAGCTGGCGTCGGAGCGGCGGCGGCAGTAGCGGAGAGGGAGACGGAGAGGTCGGCGCCGGCGGCGAGTGGGAGGCAGCGAGCTGATCGGCGAGCGAGCAACACGTCGAACCCCTCGCGCAAGTCCTCCTCGGGCCACGTGAGCAAAGTGCGGAGGATTACGACGTGCAAGCAGCAGTGACCGGCGGCGCCGCGCATGGACTCCTGCCCCCTTCGCCCCTCCACGGTTCGTCCCGCAATCGTGGTGCTCGTCGTAAGCAGCGGCGACCGTGGCGGCGGTCGCAGCTGTGTGTCGTCATCGGCAGCGCTGCTGTCGTTTCGACCCTGCGGTGTTCGTTGTACCGAGCGTCGTTGATAAAAAAAAAGTCATCACGGGAGCAAAGAGGTCACCACAGCCAATTTCTTGGTGCCATCCACACATCGCCACCACTTTCTTATGCCAGATACCACAGGTGCACAGTTAACACTGCTTTATAATATTAACAATAATAATTTCAAGTTGTAACGCGCTCGCACGGTATTTGCTCACTCTCGAAGAGAGAGACTGACGCAGAGGTGTGAGGAGCTACAGAGAAGTGGGAATGGCAGCGAGGTGGTGAGCCGGCACCAAATTCCACCCCCCCTCCAGGCTTTGCGACACTCTATATATGAAGCGGTATGATCGGCATCATTGTCGGCTTCATCGACCACTGACTTGAACAGTCAGTGCAGGTTGATGACGGGAGGCCCCAGAACCAGTTAATATATGACTTGCTATTGATTTTTTTTGTTGCCAGGTATCAAACTCGGATCGCCGGGTTCGATGGTGCAATGCGCAATCCACTACAGTGGGGAAACAAAAGGAACTGGTTACTTAATCAAATGGCCACCACCAAATCATGCAACTTCCATCGATTCGCTAGCACAGCAGATTACAAGAAGCCCAATTATCTTGCTCTAACTCAACCCCATTATTTGAATCGTGGTTGTTTTTGTAATGGATCTCCAAAAAAAAAACAGGACTAAACATGGTGTGTGCTATTGCGGCATTGTAACTTTTTTAAATGCACTGCAATTAAATTAAATGTAAAGTAAGGAAGCATTGCAATTGCCAAGTACCGCTATCATTGTCCATCTTGCAAGAGACAAAATAACATCCTGTTTGAATAACACAGTGCCCTTTGCTCGTTATGTAAAGATTCTACGTGGAAGCACATTGCACAGAGATTCTCGTCATCATCCTCATTCGTGTATTATTATTTTTGGTATAAGGTTTGATGTGTGGCTGCTGTCACCAAATTCAGCGGCTTGACCCATTTGCCTGCCTAATTGCAATTTCTATTAAGCGTGGCCTCGTTTCGCAGTCCATTGCGCAGGGGTAAGAAAATCTCCTCTGGTTTTCCTGCGAAGCAATACTCACTTTGCGCACCGGGGCTGCTCATTGCCACGTCCACCAACTACAAAGAGATTGAGCCACCAGCACGCGTAGCCCCACTACAAGCGCATGTGATGCGCCATTCATGAAAGCCATCGATTCACCGCAGTTTTATAACCGTCGGCACAACGTTGCGCATACACTGGGGAGGGAGTGGCGGTGGGGGCGGGGGGCGGAAGAGTGGAGGTGATGTGTGTGCACATCTTAAAGAGCTGCCCCATAAGTGATGTCGAGGGCAAAGGTTCCGTGGGGCTAAAGTGCTGACTCGTGGCGTTGCTGGGGGTTGCTTGCCTGCCCAGCTGCTACGGGACGCTGCGCCAGCCGGCCTTGCGGCAGGCTTTCTGCACCCACGTCGCCAGTAATTATAGCCACAGTTTGGGTTTGTGGAGCATCCGAACTCGGCTCAAAATGGGCCGCACCTCGGCAGCAGGCTGCGTCGACTCAATAGAGTCGACCGCTTCGTTCCTGGCTCAGCACAGATGCAAACTATCCCTGTCAAACAAAAGTAATGACTTCGCTACTCGATGTGAGCCGAGTTAGAGCCCACTGCGATGGGTACGTGCTGTTATTCATAGAGGCCAGTATTTGAGTAAAATGTTATTGATTCCAACCCCCCCCCCCCAAACCCACTTGAACGAGCAATGTGTTGACGCCTGTCTTCGTTGGGAGGGGTGCTGAGCCACTGGTTGAATGTCGCATGCCTGTGGTGGGGGCCAGCTCGTGTGGGGCAACCGTTGACTCCTTTCATTGATAACAGAAGGCATGATAGGCTGAGCCAACCCCCAATCAGTATTTTAAATAAGGGGACATTGTTCGTATCGATTGTGCTTGTGCTAGGTAGAATAATGAACACCCATGATACATTTAGCTCTTGCCATTTAGGTGCTTGTTAAGGCCAGTGGTGATTTACTGTTCTGAGGACTGCTCTGCCATCGCCTGGCACCTGAATCTGGTCCGTGCCTGCTCTTGTTTGACTTGGCTTGAAGTGACCATCAGATTGCAGTGGAATGGTCATCTGTATCAACACGAAGGAGGCACACGCATCGCTTGCATGGTGTGCTAGCTTACCACATTCTCTTACCAGTTCCTTGCCTGCTCTGTATTGATGCTGCAGAACAGCATTGACTCTGTTTTTAATCATAATGGAAGTGGAATAGTTAGTAACATATATTTTATTGACCTGATGGGCCTTCTGAACTAATGTATCTGTGTAGCATTTTGTTAACCAAGGCAAACCCTGGACCATGTTGTCAATGTATCCATTGACATCTCTTGCCTATAACATCAGGTTACCTACAACATTGTTTTAACACACTCTGCTGATGTGACCCGGTGAAGTTGAAACCCATCCCGGGTTTGCCTAATTGAGATTCTTCACAGATGCATCAGTCCAGAAGGCCAATTAGTGGATGTATGTGTATACGCAGGCATTTATTTTAACATTGCCCACAATTGATCGGGGCATCTCTGTGTCTTCCACAGCGCTTTTACGGACCTTTCGCCATTTCGTTCCCGGACAAAAAGGAGAGAGGCGCTAAGACTTTACGGTTTTACCGTCACACTTCACAGTTTTTCCACCACGACCCCGCGACCTCCGGGTGTCCCTCCAGCTCCACCCATCTCCACCGTGCTCGGAAGGGGTGCCTGTGGATCCGCTCTCCGCTGTGCCGTGCCGTGCCACACCGCTCGACCAATCAGCAGCATCCCCCACGGGTCCGGCCGACTTGAAACAGAAGTGTTTCCTCTCTCTTATCTACTGTGACGACCTCCTGTAATGCTGCAGTCTTGTTTGCAGTTGGCTTCTTGCGCATATGCTATCACTTGCGCCATTTTAAAAGTAAAGCGAGCTTGAGTTTTCACTTCCGATTCTTTTTTGTGCCCGTTCAAAAACATCTTTCATGTTATGCCAAATGCAACTGTAACGGTAGAGAAAGCTGGGGATTGGTTTGGAGAGACGCATGCTGGGCATGTGTCAAGAGGACCGAGTCAGTGCTGTTGAGATCCTAGCTTTTCGCACCTGGGGGAAGCAACCCGTGATTAAGAAATCAGGTTTCCAAGTTGAGTGAGTTTTGCTGATCTTTGCCTGGTCAACATTTATGGCACAAAACACCTCCACGATTTCAGAAGCCCGACTCAGCTTGGAGAGGGGAATTGCTTAGCTGCCATATATCATAGATGTTGCTTGTAAGACCCTTGAAGAATGTTGAATGAAGGCCCATTATGCGGACTATGAGATCATTACACAACACAGCACGTGGCTGCTGTCTGTGGAAGTTATTTAGATTGGCTTTACTGTCCCCCTGGATACAGATAACACAAGTTGGATGTGGTTGTTAGTGAACAAAATTTTTGGGTCTTGAAAATTATTCCTCACCTGAAATCTGTTTTAGCACAGTCCACCGCTGTGTTCATAGTGCTCTTCCTGACACCCCTGTGATGTAAGAATTGACTACAATCCAAAACATTCTACGTGGCTCAACAAACAAACAACTTGCCAAATAGACTGTCCGTTTTTTTACGTTAGCATAAGTATCTGCAATAAAATAACCTTTGTAACTTTCACGCCATGCTGCATCTGATGGAGTTCCGTCCGCAGCACGTGCAGACGCGGCTCCGTGAATACAGCACGTCCGACCCTCTCCTGGGCTTACTCGCTGCAATCACTTCATCAGATATTCTTCGCATCGTGTCCTCTATGAAGCCGAAGTGGAAGCTGGCCTAATCCTAATTGACTAATGACCGGCTTCTGATTCAGAAATTATTAGTGCGTCTCGATGAGACAAATGAGCATTGGGGTAGATTTTATCTCCATTTGTGGGCCCCCGGGCCGGTGGTGTACCGCAGACATTTCTGTTGCCTGGCTCGTCGTCGTGTCCGTGGGATGGCCACCGTTGCCTTGAACAGGTTGGTCCTCGTTGACCCCAATGGGAAAGACGCGTCTTGCGGCGCAACCCCCAGCCGCGATTTGAACTCGCAACCCTCCGCATTGTGATGCGTCCGCTCTGACCGCAGTGTCATCGGGCGAAGGGAAAAGTGGCCGGCCAGATGGCGGCGGTAGTTTTTTTATTTGTATAAAAAAAAAATCTGGAGGTATCTTAGTGTTGTTTTTTTATCGGCATAGATATTTCTCCACCATATTTTGTGCCCTTTTTTAACAAAATAGGGCATAACAAATAAGCACTTGCGATGCTTGGTAAATTAACAACAAATGTAACACTGTTCTGGCATCAAAATGTATCAGAACAAATGTCATAGCAGTGCACCGTGGGCAGTTCCTAGAAGGTTCTGCACCCGCGGGGCCCTGCGTGTGGCAGCGATTGCTGTCGCGTTGAACCTCATTGCAGTTGGAACTGCATATAGGCACATCCCTGTGCTTATATGTAGAGTGTGCCAGAAATCCCCATTTGACCCCTCTTCCCACCACCACTACCAGTGTAATGTTAGTAAGCGTTGCATCTATCAGAACTGAGCTAATTTTTTCACACATGCTTATCTCCAGCTTCTGCTGGAGTATAAGGAGCGTGTCGAGGGTTACACGGTGAGACCGCACGCAGCCTTGAACTGCCTAGCCTCCCAGGCTCGCTTCGCCGGGCGGCACGGTCGGCACGCAAGCCCCTGGGCCAGGCGGCACGGTACCGGCGCGTTAGTTCTCGCAGCCGCACTTCTCGGCAATTTGCTCCTAAATTTGCCTGCCACAGCTCGCCACCAACCCCTCTGCCCTCTTTAGGACGAGCAACTAAAGATCTCGTGGCGTCATTCCCCGGAGTGGGGTCACCATGCACCGGTGCCGCAGCCTTAATACCACAATTTGACTCGCTTTTTAAAAGCAACGTCGAGTGTTGCAGTCTCTCTCAATGCAACAGGGACGGCGGACGAGCCTCGCTCAGTTCTCACCCAGTTCAGTGACGAACTTGAAGGTGAAATCCACATGCCAGGCTGCAATGTGTCGCGACTGCTCATTTTGTGGCGGTAACGTTCACGAGCAGTGCATGCGTTGTCTCTCGTAATCTGGCGATAGTATTTTTTCACACGGGAGACGGCGATGAGGCTTTGAGAATAAGGCAGTGAAAAGGTCTCAGTCGGTCACCTCTCATAACAAATAGCCTCTTGTGCGATAGAACACGAAAAATGGGCTCCGGATTAAGCAACGTGTTTGCTTCGGGGTGACCAGCACCATCTCGTTCTTGCAAATGTACGCGCGTCTCTCCCTCATTTGCCACAAAAACGGTGTGCGCTTCCATGATAATAGCGAGACGGAAGTTGGATGTACAGGTGTATGTTTTGCGTTTTCGCAGAACCTGGGAACATGGCTAACAGTGAGGTCTAATGCTTGGGGGGTGATGTTGGGGGGGGGGGGGAGTTTTAGAAGTGTTGTAAATTACAAAACATATATAAAGTTAGAAAAAATTACTTCTAAAGATGTTGCAGACTTTTACAGGGTTTCATAGCAGAGTTTGATTACTGTTTCTGATGAAAGCAATGTTTCCTGTAAGATATTGCATCTAATTGAGCTTTGTAAATGTGCCTTGAACCCCTGTTTAAGTCTAAGGCTGCAGAAAACCTGGAGGCAAGTGGTCTGCATTTACAGTAAAAAAAACGTATTTATCCTCTGCGCTCAGTTTTTAAGCTCCTGTTCATTGCACGGAAGCTATATTTTCTCCAACCTTATTACTTTTAAATTCAGGATGCATTTGCAGTAGAATCGGAGCCGCCTGCAGATTAAGCTGCCTGTGGTCACGTAAGATGGTAAAAACTGCTTTTCAAAATATTTGACCTTTTTGCAGAGACCGGCCCTTTCCTCTTGTGGGCTGCTCTGCAATGTGTTTGTACCACGCCGTTGTATGTTCTGCAAATTCTTTTTTTCCCCATCTATACAACACTTCTGGCTTCAATTTACAGACCATTTTCATCCAGGTGTTCCAAGGTCCCTAACGGAACTTTTTTTTTAGTTGAGTTAGTTAAGCATGTTCAAACTGCGGCTTAGTTGCTAGGCTTTAAAATCCGCGAGCGCATAACTTGAATGTTAAATAGTATATTATATGTCGATACTTGTTGGTATTTTTTTTGTAAAATATGCGTACAGTTATATATCTTCGCTTCACTGCAACGAGAGTATGAGGAGAGTTTTTATTTTTTAAATTCTAAGAACTCATTAAAAGTTGTGAAGGCTCTTCAGATCGTTAAAAAAAATGATTTTTTTAAAGTTTCCACACTGGCTCGTTAATGCGCGTTTCCCCATCTTATTTTTTTCATTATCGTTCATAATATGAAAGTGCTGCAGCGCAACACACAAAAGTGTGAGTGTTAGAGGGTAGAGTGGAAGAACCAAGCCTGAGCAGGTTTAATGAGAGCTTGTCCGCCGTAGTCGGTGATTGAATACAGCGTACACACGCGGTAGCTTTGAAAGAAGGTTCATCGCAATTTGCAGAACCAAATGACAAAATGTAGCAACCCGAAACTTGAAGCAAAAGGATTTTTTTTTACCATGAACACAACTTTTTCCGTTGCCACTGTAAATGACATCAAACGTATGCCCTGAAGGAAATTCAAGAATTGCAAGGAGCGCTTATTTGCGAGTTTTTTTCTTTTAAAGTTTTCAAGAATTATTTTGTTATTTCCTTTGTTTGTGTAGTCATGACCTATGTTTGAATTTGTTGGGTCTCTTATTTGTGCTTGATGCTGAACGTTGCCCAAAGGTTTTGAAGACCTGATATGCAAGCGACACGGTTTTGATTGAGACCATGCCCTGTCTCCGCTCTCGACACGTGCACACACACACATTAATAACTCCCTCGCTTACCCGCATGGCCACGCACACATGCGTGCGCGCGCGCAGATCCACCGGTCAGCTTCTTAGGCCCTGTGTTAGTGAATACCTGCTAAGGCCAGCATGGCAAGAGAGAATGTTGATTTGGCCAGTACCACACATGGAGCCCCCCATTTTCCCCAAGTGATTGATGATCACACGTGGTACCAGGTACTGGTTTGAGGGTGATTTGACGTAGACCTAGTCTGAGATCGGTTCTGTTAACAGTTCCCGCTATTGCGTATGGCCAAGAGTCAAAGCCATGTCGAGGCGCCGCCGCCACGAATTCTGCCGATGCCACCACCACAAACGTGTTACATTCTCCGCCACCGTCCTAACGTTTGGTCCTTCCCTCGGTCGCCGACCTCCGGGTTGCCGCCCAATGCCCGTCTCGGTACCGGCCCTCCTCCACCGCGCACACGCGCCCCACTCCCCACGAAGCGCCTCTTCCTGGTGACACACATACAGTGTTGCTTATCTAGTGCGCTGACCACTACCCCGCAGCGTACACTGGCGTACACATGCACACTCACGTTCAAGTGCTGTTATTGAGCAACTATTAAGGCCGTGAGCCTAGCAATCTACATTCACGTCTTGGTCATAACACCGGTGCCACTTGCTCTTCGAGCCTAGGCTTGGCATTTCTTACGTCACCTCGACCGAAAGTGAGAGACTCAATCAACTTCAGATCTTGGAAAATAAGTGAACTGTGTAACTGTCAGGAGGGACGGCGATGGAAATGTCTCCCACATGCTTGCATTTGCATATTCACATCCCACCCAGCCTAACGAATTTCAAAGCGTGAAAATGCTCCGCCCCCCCCCCCTCGCTCGCTCTAACCACGAGGCACCAAGAGCCACACTGGACGGCGGGGACGGGAGTCGCGGGGTCCCCCTACACTGGACGCACACCTGGTTGTCGGTCAGCGCTGATAGCCTTCGCTGCATTACCCTTTTGCACTGTGCTTTGCGCGCGAATGCTTCGAGCGGTCGTGAAAACATTGCGGCTGCGCTTTGCGTCTGGAAGCACGTTTCCCTACCACGGCACACTTTCCGGGGGGCTATTTCGAGACCGCTTGCGTACAAAAAAAACCTGGCGTCATGCTGCGTCTCGTAACTACAGCCTAATGATTGGTTACTCGTGGTCTCACGTGAAACTTGTCACATTCCTGAAAGAAGTTACCTTTAATTTAGTTGATACATTTTGAATAATAAACTTCCTCACCTCGATTAAATTGGCCAATTTCTCCACCACGTGCTGGTTTTCTTTTTCTGTCGTGCACTGAGGGGAAACTCACTTCTGGACGCAAACGCAGCCAGTTTTCCTCCTTGTGTTCTGAGGTCTACTGCTGGTGGGTTCCAGCGTGGCAGGTGTGGCTGGGAATGTCACGCAAAGTGTGAAGTGTGAACTCAGCTCTCGTCATTTGCGATGTTTCTGTGTGCTTATACCAATTTTTATTTGTGCACGAGTTAATGCAGTTCTTTTTACAGTGTAGCCTTGACATACACACACCAGAGTTTGTCCATATTTGCTTGCAAAAGGAATTGATTTTTAATTGAGAATGAATAACTTATAATTAGACTAATAATAATGAATCCATGATGTCTATGTATCCTTGCGGAGGGTCGTTGATGAGCGATATCACTCTTTGTCAAGTCACTCATGATAGTCAAGTGACTATCATGAGTACTTAGGAAGAGCTGTGCACGATTTGAAGATAGTTTTTTTTTTATTTTCGTTGTGGTTACTCTTTTAGGATGGGAGTTTTGGCCGTGACGCTGGAACACACAAGCCCGACTTGCGTCGAGCATTGCGGTTGGACCTGTTAAGTTCCACGTGACAGCTGATTGCGTGTTTTGGATGACCACAATTACCTGCAGGCACTTTGCGCGCTGCTGCATGGAGAGCTGAAGCCTCCGCGCTGTGTAAACCAGCTCGGGGCCACGCACGCCACCCGCCAAAAACCAACAGCCATTCAATAAGATAATAGCCATAAGGTGAAATGGCTTCTTTAAACAAGCAATGCCTAAATGAACCGTAGTCAGCCAGTGGTAGAAGTTGCGCATTTGCCACAGTGTGGACCAGCTGGTATCGACTGGGCCACTGTTAACTCCCCACAGAGTGGTGACTAATTTTACCCATCCGAGGGAGACGATGGAGTGTAATGGGCTCGCGATTTAATTACGATCTGAAGATCGCAACAGAGCTGTTTGTACACCCGTGCTTGGCAGTAATCCCGCTGGTGTGCGTGTGTGTGCATGTCACACCAGTGGCCTTACCATCTCCTACATCAACTCGGCCTAAACATGAGTAGCCGGCTGTGGTGGCGGTGTGTCCAGTATTGTCGCCCCCCCCCCCCCATTCCACATCGTTGACCCTGGCGAAGGTTTGAAGGGCTGTGTCGAGGTACTGAGCTGCGGCCTCTTGCTACCATGATTACGCACCGACCTACCCGTTGCCTGTCCACACCGTACGTTAACTCCACTCCTACACTTGGGGTGTTCGTAATTTTATGATCTCGACAAGGGCACAGGTGTGCGTAAATATTTAACCAAGGTGGCGGACAGGTGAGTTATTCCATAATTAAATCATTACGCGGGTAACTAAGTATGCAAGTGCTATTTGGATGGGGTTTTCCTGAAAAGTGATTGCGTAAACAGGAGAATTAAAAGATTCCTAATTAAAAGTCAATTCTAGCTGTCATGCAGAAGTTGCGGTGGTTGCTATTTGTTGCCAATAGCAGACACTAAAAAGTAAATCCGAGGAAGCCGTTAATTAACTTAATGGGCTTTTAGATATTTAAAATGAGCTTGTACTTATACGTTGTTATGGACCGGTGTCATTTTGTTGTTTTTAAATAAATTGTGGTTGCTCCAAACAGTGCACCAAACGCACAGCAAAATGCGAGCGCTTCCTCAGATTTCTTTTTCACCCTGTGGGCTGAAGTTGTTTATTCCTGTTGGTTGCACGAAAGTTGTCAAAAGTCACAGCACTGGGATGTCTCGAAGCGAGAGTTACTGGGGAGAAGGACTGTTTTGCGTTGTTTTTTTTTTATTGGGAGAGCGCTGTTTGTTGCCAGGTCCCACCGTCGGTCGGTCCGGTTTGCGATGAAGGGAGCCGCAGTCGGTGAGTCGCTCGCACGCGGCGCGCTTGGCACCGCGCTCGCCGTTCCGCAGCTCAAGAGGCAGATGAGGGCGAAATGTTTAATTGGCCACGCCGTCCGTGACTGACGGCAGCGGTGACTGTGACGGGGGGTGCCGCAGCTCGTAGCTGTCGTGGCTTGTGGACGATTGGCGCCGTGCAGGGATCTTAAATTGAGGAGATGGTGGGGCGTGGGGGTGGGGTGGCCGTGCCGAGTTTTTCCCTCTGACTTTGTCTCCGTTCCGTAGTGCTGCAGCTAACGCTTCCCAGCGCCGTTCGGCTCCCAACTGGTGCACACACGGCTGCAGTGGTACGCACCTGGCACCGGACAACTTGCAGGTTGGGTTTGTAGATCATGCAAAGATTATCTGAGGAAAGCACCCACGTTTAGAACAGAAATATCGCGCTAATAGTCAGCAAAGTAAGGCTTTCTTTTGAGCCAACTTTGTAGTGGAGCTTTAAATGCTTTGTGTGGGTTTACCATGATATTCAACTGAAAAATAATTATCACATTTTGCCGAACAACCTCAGCAGGACGGTGCTGAAGGATCTGGAGAAGTATTGGGATTCGGTAAGGCTTTCAATTGAGAAATACATTTATTGTTATGGTTAAAGTTTAATAGACCCGCAGTATTAACCAGAGCAGGCGCTGGATTTGAGCCATGAACCTCTGGAACAAGCGGGGAATGTTGTTACCGCTGGACCGCGTCACCACCTCCACCACTCCACCTCGTGAGCAGTGGCGTTAGTTCCATCCTCAAGGCGTCTAAACATTCACTCCGCTTGTGATCCAAGAGTTGTCACAAATTGGGGTTTGCGATTCGATTACAGAATCTTTTCATTGTGAATGTCGTGCCTCTAGTGGCTGCGGGAGTCACGTGAAAGGTGTACGAATTAAATATTAGATCACATGAAAGTTGTACGAATTAAATATTAGATTCTCACTAAGGAGAATGTGATGCATTTATCGCAAATGTCGAATTTGATTCCAAAGCACAGGCCTGACACGTTAACAGCGCATCTCCCATAAACATGTACACTTTGGTTCTTTCAATGGGACAATATACGCAGGTTTGTGCACATGCATATAAAACTACATTTCAAACAATTGCTGATGGGGTCTCTACCGGTTCGATTTGCATACGCGTGGCGTGGCCAGTGCGGCTCGTATGCATTCTGTGTCTAGTCTGTAATTAAAATGTTCACACGCAAGGGCAGAATCGTTCACGCGTTGACTTTTTTGAAAAACTTAAGACGATGTCCACGTTGCTTTTTCACATTGAGCTGGATTGGGTTCGGCATCAATGTCCGACGTTTCGCTCCGTGTGGATTGAAGCTCGGCACACGGAGCGAAACGTCGGGCTTGGTGCGAAACGACACACGGCACGACCTGAAAAGCACGTCGGAGATCTGTACAGCACGAGCGCAAAACCCTACGCAGTCCAACATCAAACAACAAGTCGATGCCGACCAGAAAGTCGCATTGCATAGAAATCCATTCTGTCTTCCTCACGAATCAGTCCATCGTGTAGGTCACACACTTGACGTCGTTTTTTAAATTTCCTTTCCCCCACCGTTGCCGAGCCGAATCGTCGAAGGGCTCAAGACTCCAAGTGGCCAGCCACAAACAGCACGATGAAAGTTGTCGAAGGCGAATTAACAGGCGGACGCGTTGGGCCGGCACGCGTGCGCGCGACTCGTCGCCAACCGCGCGGATGGCAAGTGCGGCGCGTGGCGCGTCGGGTTGTGGCGCTCGGGGGGCAGGGAAGGGGGAGCGGAGAAGGGGGAGCAGGGAATGGAGGGGGGTCTGCGCCGTGCGGCGGCGGCTTCACAAACGGCGCGTGGCGCTCCGTGTGCTGCCATCGCCTCGAGTGCGGGCCCAGCCCGGCCCGGCCCAGCCCAGCTGTTACGTAACTCGCGCAGAAGCACGCTCCTCGCACTTTCATTTCAACCTTTATAACGTCATTGGTTTTAGTATCCGCCTGTAGATCCCTTCTGGGTTGTTTTCTCTTCGAATATCCTGATGGGGGAAATAAACCTTTTAGTCTACAATAAGAACTCCTGATTGAATCGATTGGCTTTTTAAAGCAGATTTACCAAAGCAATCTTTTATTTTGTATGTGCAGAATGGCATTCAAGCCAGCAATTGTCCACTGCCAAAATCTGACGTGGATTTCATTCATGCGGGACGGGCTTCGGTGTTCAGAACACTAATGGGTTGAAGGAGACATTGCACTGAAGGCCACAATGAGCCAAAGCAAGCAGATGTTTTCAAATGAAGCTGTTGGAAAGACGTGCTTTGTGTACCCCGATAGACCATCGGATCAAATCTCTTCATTCTAGAGCCGAGCTATAGTTTAGTGTCTTAGTTTATACAACCCCTTTGCCATTTCATTGCTGGGTGAAGGCTGCATTTGTCATGGGGGGTTGTTTGGCCATACTTCACCGGCGTTGATGGGTGCGGGTTGTGAAGGGAGACACCTCCGGGTCTGTTCAGTGATGTCACCAATCCGCTGGTTGTTGTCCGCGGCCTGGACTCGAACTCGGTTTTACTCCACGAGCTGCCCCCCCCCCACCCGCTGCGCTGGACGCGCGAGAGACGCCGGCCCTGTCGGTTTTGGCAGCAAAACGTTCGTCGTGCTTCGGTGTCGTCGCCACCGGGGCCCGATGGGTTGTTTTTTTTAAATCGAGGCCTGCGTTCCATTGTGAGAAACAACCTGGAAAGTTTGTAGTTGAGCGCCCTGGTGTAGGATTGCGATCAACACAACGCCGAATGGAAGTTGAGCCAGTGGGGGTGTTCTTAAGTCACTGGCAGCACGGCCTAATTGTAATGCTTCTGAGGCTCCGCGCTAGATTTGAGCTGTGCGTGACGCAGTGGCTTGGCAAAATCACCTTTGCCACTCGTGAATGGAAAACGGGGGCAGGGGGTTCAGTGAACGTACGAACTGAGACGAACGACGTACGGCTCAGACCAGGATACCCTAAGAGCCGTGTCTCGTCGCTGAGGGCACCAGCGATACGGATTGCTGCCTACAGAGCACGCCAACGCGTGGGTGATGCCTACAGAGCACGCCAACGCGTGGGTGATGCCTACAGAGCACGCCAACGCGTGGGTGATGCCTACAGAGCACGCCAAAGCGTGGGTGATGCCTACAGAGCACGCCAACGCGTGGGTGATGCCTACAGAGCACGCCGAAGCGTGGGTGATGCTAACAGAGCACGCCGACGCGTGGGTGATGCCTACAGAGCACGCCGAAGCGTGGGTGATGCCTACAGAGCACGCCAAAGCGTGGGTGATGCCTACAGAGCACGCCAAAGCGTGGGTGATGCCTACAGAGCACGCCGAAGCGTGGGTGATGCCTACAGAGCACGCCGAAGCGTGGGTGATGCCTACAGAGCACGCCGAAGCGTGGGTGATGCCTACAGAGCACGCCGAAGCGTGGGTGATGCCTACAGAGCACGCCGACGCGTGGGTGATGCCTACAGAGCACGCCGACGCGTGGGTGATGCCTACAGAGCACGCCGACGCGTGGGTGATGCCTACAGAGCACGCCGAAGCGTGGGTGATGCCTACAGAGCACGTCAACGCGTGGGTGATGCCTACAGAGCACGTCAACGCGTGGGTGATGCCTACAGAGCACGTCAACGCGTGGGTGCCCTCGAAGACGCGGGAATATGTATTCGCTCGCGCGCGCAAATGTCATCAAACAGGAACCTGCGCGTGCTTGCGTGCTGCCCACGCGCCGGTAACTGCGCACAGGACTAATCATGCATTTGTTGGCGACTGTCGACAAATCTGTGCATCGGCATTCGGACGTTGGATATTGGGACTAACGTTTGTTTAAATTGTTGGTGATGTTTCAGTTGTTTTTTTGTTGTTGACAATATTGTCTGGGCGTGCATTGAGCATGGGCTATATAATTCCGGGCCATCGAGGATGGGATGCAAATTTCATGGATTTTGCTGACCCATGCATTTTGTGCTACCTTGACAAGGGGATGGGGGAAGAGGTTTAAAGGCGCTCGCCCAAATGTGTCTCTCGTGTGCGGACATTTGATATAATGGCATTCAAAACACGATTTATACTTGTGTTTTATTTCCCGTATTCAGACTTGTTTGCCAAATTACATGCACAATGCAGTATATATTACAGCTGTAACGATCTCTGTCAGTTGGTTGAAATTGATGATTAAACGGCGAGCTGATGTTTCTGTGCTCGGAAAGGCGTTTGACAGTGAATGTGAATATATTAACGCCTGCCAAGAGATTTGTCATCTGAAATAACTCGTACATTATCCCCTTCCTGGTCCATTCAATACAGAAGCATTTTCTTCGTCTGGATAAATAGCGGTGACTCATTCTCCCCAAGTATGCACAATAAACGTTGCTACGCAGCACAGAGGCTGCTGCTCATGCTGCATGACGCGGTGGGCAGCATCGGGCAGTGCAGTAGTAGAAATCCGCTGTTGTGCTGTACTTTGATGCCTATGCTCGGGCATATTTGCTCCCTGGCTGCACCAAATCCGCACTGACCAGCACGGCGAAGTGCAGTCACTTAACCTACCCCCACCCCACGGCTAATGCATTAGTATAGGGAGGCCTTCATCCAGGAGTGGATTGACAAGAGGGCCGTGTACGTGTATAGTCACAATATAGCCCTGAGAGTTGTTTTGCAAATTCACGGTGCATTCGGCAGCGATTGGCAACAACGAAGCTTTAGCCGATGGCAACGCTGAGCCAGCCCACCGTTGCTGCTGCTGCCGCTGCAGCAGCTACAGCAGCAGCAGCAGCACGACACGAAGCCCGCGCTGAGCCGTTGCAGCTGTCGTAGATGCGAACCACGCGGCCCGTTTTGTGGATAATGCGTCGGGTCCACAGGAACGGCCGCTCCGTTGAGCCCTCGCTCCGAGCCCAGCCCGAGAACTCCGCGGCAGTAATCGACGCACGGGAATGGATCTTGTGTTATCATCTGCGCAATGCACTGTAATACAACGAAGTCTTGTATTGAAATGTGTTGCTTTTTTATGTTGAGAAAAAAATACATAATTTATAAAAAAAAAATGTCCCGTTTGCTTTGCGTTTTATTGTTCTGAGAACAACGCCTATTTTAGGGCGATGACTTCGTGTGGGTAATGGAAAAGGGCATGGTGATGTCTCATCCCGTCGCCTTCAGTGACAACGGTCGTCTCGAGGAATCGCCATCCCTTACGGAAATGTATTTATAAAAAATAATAACGCCAACCTGTACTGCGTCACTCGCCCCCGGAGGGAGAGGGGAAGCCTCAGAGGGGCGAGGAGGAGCCAGAAGAGTGGGAAGGTAGCCAGGCGATGAGCCGGTGCTAGATCGCCTCCCCCCCCCACAAGGTCTGTGGTCCTCTATGTATTAATATTGTTCAGCCAATTATTGAGTATTTACATGTGGGACGTATTTGTAACCGTGATCTGTCTCGAACCGACGCACATCATGAGCCAATCTCATCATTCCATCTCCATGGTGGTCGTCCCGGGACGTGCTGCCACTCCGCCGTTAGTCTTGACCACCGGTCGTCGTTCCTTCTAGCGGTGTCCTACCAAAGTCACTTCGAACGTTTCTTAATAGGCAACCTGATGTCTTCCACATCATGAAATATTCCATAAAAGATTTGCCGATATGCCTTGAAATATAAAATAAACAATTCCGTACATATTTTCCAGTTTTAGTTGACGTGTCGTAGACTAAACAAGTGCAAACTTTTTTTCAAAATATTTACGGAAATCAGTGTTTTAAGTAATGGAATAAGTAAATAAGGAAAGCAAAGGTGGCCATTGCTGGTGCTTTTGAAGCAAAGACAAGTGGAAACGGGAAATACGCACCACGGGCATGGCTTGGTGGGTAGACAACATCAACGAGCGAGTAGAGACTGAGAGACAGCGAGAGAAGCGGAGGGAGACAGCGGAAGAGATGGCGACATGAAATCAAAGAGTTTGGAGGCCACGACTGAAAATAAGCAAGTGGGGTGATAATTATTTTGAGTTACGTATCATTTACAGATGGAACAGAAAACACAATTCTGGCAAGCCGCCTAATGAAGTTTGCTGTTGTAATAACCGATAGTGGGTTTACTCTCCAACACAGCGGTGTGCTGAAGTCACTAATTGGTATGTTTTGCTTACGTGACGACCCTTCCTAATTGGCTGTTTCGGGTGGCGACGGGTGTAACGACACATTTATATTCATGAGATCTAACCTGAAAAAAAACTTCTTATGGAGAAA